GTTTTGGTGATTTCAAATATCAACATTGGCTACCAGAAATCACTTACTCTGCCTTTAAGTACTTTTAAAAGCAAGTACTTCTGTACTTTTACTTAAGTAAAAATCTGTCTTTACAACTTTTACTTGTAATGGAGTAATATTTGACCAGCAGTATCTGTACTTTCACTTAAGTAATGGAGTTGTGTACTTTGTCCTGCCTCTGGTTATATTGTATCTTTCAACATACTGACTCATGCTCCGTGTTGCCGCTTAAACTGAGGCGCTACAGCAATCTGTCATGCCATATTTACGAGCGTCAAAACGGTTGGAACTGAAGTCTGCAGGACGGTAGGTGAGTAAATAATGACAGAAATGAGCTATTAAGTTTTATCATCAAGTATTAAGTATCACTAAATGAAAAAAAAAAAAATAGAAAGATAATAATGCCCACAGCGCCCTCTAGTGGAGGATCATTCAGTAAAATCAGGAATCATTTGGTTTTGTGACCTGAACAAAACTCTCCATCACCGCGAGGAATCACATACAATAATTTCTTATATTATGGCTGACAGGTCTGGATCTCTCACCTGCATGATTTTGTCTCCCATCCTGAGACCAGCCACCTCTGCAGGTCCACCTTTAGACACGCGTGTGACGTAGATGCCCTGCGACATACATAAAGTTAGAAGAGTCACCTCTGAAAGACAAAGGAGGAAAATGTCTCCCTCTAAATACAAATAATTTTACAAAACATGATTTTTCACCTTGTCTGTCTTGTCTTCAGAAAAAGGATTCTGGCTTGAATCTTGGTCGATTCCCCCTCCAATGCTGAATCCTAATATTAAATTATCACCATCCCGTAGTTTGTGAATCTCAATTCGTTGCTGAAACACAGAGAGGAAAAACAAGACAGCTGAGTTATAAGGCAGGCACACTAAGTATGTGTCTCAAAAGTAGTTAGCTATATACACAGGCAGCATTTCTGAGAACGATGCCCAAAACTACTGTCTAGGTAGGCGGCTAACTAGGATTTAAGACAGATCCTATGGCACAGCTGTTTATGACCATATATGGCAGCACTACCTGAACAGCAACATTAACCACACCTACTTACTTCACACCTGAGTGACATCAGATCAGATTGAATATAATACAAAAGAATAATTAAATTCATCATTTAATATTAATTGGATCCCAAAAATGACTGGTAATTTTGCAACATATTACTTATTTATAATCTGATAAATAAATAGAACAGTAAATAAATAATTAACTATTGGTCACTTTGTTCGCTCCTGGCTAACGTTAGCTTAGCGTGCTGACCCTTTCCACTATATCGACTGTTAACTTAAACTCAAATAAACTTAACCAAACTGTCCTGTCATGACATAGATTAGTATTGGGAACAATAATCATGTTTAAATTGATCGCCTTCCCAGTCAAACGATATTAAATGAATCACTGTCAGCATTAAAAACACTAAAGCTCCGCACACAAAGCTGAAGACACTTATGCTAGTGCAAAAACTTTCTCATACTGAGCGCAAACTCACCACAACTGCTGTGACAGGATGACCGGGGATGAACGACATTTTCTGTTTGTTATAAAACGTTTATTCCCCGTTGGGGCTCTTGGGTGTTTAGTGGAGTAATTTTCACTGATAATAACTCGAGTGAGTGTGTTTGGTTCCTCCTCTTTGGCTGTGTGTCATGTTGGGGCTGGGCTGCGCTACACAAACCCTGCCCTCAAGTCCACATTACACTTCTCTCATATTGTTCGTCCATTTACTTAACCATATTTATCAGTTGAGCACGTGTAATTGTTGATGCGACTTATTTATGGGTATATATTCGAGTAAAACAGTGATTGCAGTACCATTTAAACAAGTACCAGCACGGACTCACCAGCAGATGGCGCATTTTGATCATTATTCATATGTGACCAATGCTGCGTCCCAATGTACCTACTACTTATATATTACGCCCGTAAAGGGGTCGTATGATGCGATTAAAATTTTTCCTTTCTCTTTGGAGTGTTACAAGCTCTTGGTGCATAAAGAAGATCTGTAAAGTTGCAAAGACTAAAGTCTCAAATCCAAAGAGATATTCTTTATAAAAGTTAAGTCAACCACTCCTACCTAAAACGGCTCGTTCTAACACGCCCCCACATACCTACGTCACGATGTGGGAAGATTTGCAAAACGC